CACTGCTGTGAATAGTTTAGTCGCAAAGTTAATAATCACGGGGGAAAAGGCCCAAAACTTCAAGATAGTTTTATTTTTCAGCTTTGAGCAGCCCTGAGCGAAGTGTTTATTGAAATGTGGAATTTTTTCTTGGTGCACTTCCCTATGTCCAGCTAAACAACAAGATGAGGGTGGCGATGGTCAGTTCTTGAGCTTCGAACGGGCATAAAGGTGAGAAATTGTCGCTTTCCAGCTAAACAACAAGATGAGGGTGGCGATGGTCAGTTCTTGATCTTCGAACAAGCAGAAAGGTGAGAAATTGTCGCTTTTTGCCCATTTGTGCCCACGTGTCACTTTCAACATACCTCTCTATAACATGATCCAGCTGTGATGTGAGTGGTCGCATTGAGTTGATTTTTGGTTTGCTTGTAGGCCGCTGGCACCTGCATTCAGTAATGCCAAAATTTTGGCACTGCTGTGAATAGTTTAGTCGCAAAGTTAAGAATCACGGGGAAAAAGGCCCAAAACTTCAAGATAGTTTTATTTCAGCTTTGAGCAGCCCTGAGCGAAGTGTTTATTGAAATGTGGAATTTTTTCTTGGTGCACTTCCCTATGTCCAGCTAAACAACAAGATGAGGGTGGCGATGGTCAGTTCATGAGCTTCGAACGGGCAGAAAGGTTAGAAATTGTCGCTTTTTGCCCATTTGTGCCCACGTGTCACTGTCAACGTACCTCTCTATAACATGACCCAGCTGTGAGGTGAGTGGTCGCATTGATTTGATTTTTGGTTTGCTTGTAGACCGCTGGCACCCGCATTCAGTAACGCCGAAATTTTGGCACTGCTTGGAATAGTTTAGTCGCAAAGTGAAGAATCACGGGCAAAAAGGCCCAAAACTTGGAGATAGTTCTATTTCAGCTTTGAGCAGCCCTGGGCGAAGTGTTTATTGTAATGAGGAAATTTTTCTTGGTGCACTTCCCTATGTCCAGCTAAACAACAAGATGAGGGTGGCGATGGTCAGTTCTTGATCTTCGAACGAGCAGAAAGGTGAGAAATTGTCGCTTTTTGCCCATTTGTGCCCCCGTGTCACTTTCAACGTACCTCTCTATAACATGATCCAGCTGTGATGTGAGTGGTCGCATTGATTTGATTTTTGGTTTGCTTGTAGGCCGCTGGCACCTGCATTCAGTAACGCCAAAATTTTGGCACTGCTGTGAATAGTTTAGTCGCAAAGTTAAGAATCACGGGGAAAAAGGCCCAAAACTTGGGGATAGTTTTATTTCAGCTTTGAGCAGCCCTGAGCGAAGTGTTTATTGAAATGTGGAGTTTTTTCTTGGTGCACTTCCCTATGTCCAGCTAAACAACAAGATGAGGGTGGCGATGGTCAGTTCATGAGCTTCGAACGGGCAGAAAGGTTAGAAATTGTCGCTTTTTGCCCATTTGTGCCCACGTGTCACTTTCAACGTACCTCTCTATAACATGACCCAGCTGTTAGGTGAGTGGTCGCATTGATTTGATTTTTGGTTTGCTTGTAGACCGCTGGCACCCGCATTCAGTAACGCCGAAATTTTGGCACTGCTGGGAATAGTTTAGTCGCAAAGTGAAGAATCACGGGCAAAAAGGCCCAAAACTTGGAGATAGTTCTATTTCAGCTTTGAGCAGCCCTGGGCGAAGTGTTTATTGAAATGTGGAATTTTTTCTTGGTGCACTTCCCTATGTCCAGCTAACCAACAAGATGAGGGTGGCGATGGTCAGTTCTTGATCTTCGAACGAGCAGAAAGGTGAGAAATTGTCGCTTTTTGCCCATTTGTGCCCACGTGTCACTTTCAACATACCTCTCTATAACATGACCCAGCTGTGATGTGAGTGGTCGCATTGATTTGATTTTTGGTTTGCTTGTAGGCCGCTAGCACCCGCATTCAGTAACGCCGAAATGTTGGCACTGCTGGGAATAGTTTAGTCGCAAAGTGAAGAATCACGGGCAAAAAGGCCCAAAACTTCGAGATAGTTTTATTTCAGCTTTGAGCAGGCCTGGGCGAAATGTTTATTGAAATGTGGAATATTTTCTTGGTGCACTTCCCTATGTCCAGCTAAACAACAAGATGAGGGTGGCGATGGTCAGTTCTTGAGCTTCGAACGGGCATAAAGGTGAGAAATTGTCGCTTTTTGCCCATTTGTGCCCACGTGTCACTTTCAACATACCTCTCTATAACATGACCCAGCTGTGATGTGAGTGGTCGCATTGATTTGATTTTTGGTTTGCTTGTAGGCCGCTAGCACCCGCATTCAGTGACGCCGAAATTTTGGCACTGCTGGGAATAGTTTAGTTGCAAAGTGAAGAATCACGGGCAAAAAGGCCCAAAACTTGGAGATAGTTTTATTTCAGCTTTGAGCAGCCCTGGGCGAAGTGTTTATTGAAATGTGGAATATTTTCTTGGTGCACTTCCCTATGTCCAGCTAAACAACAAGATGAGGGTGGCGATGGTCAGTTCTTGAGTTTCGAACGGGCAGAAAGGTTAGAAATTGTCGCTTTTTGCCCATTTGTGCCCACGTGTCACTTTCAACGTACCTCTCTATAACATGATCCAGCTGTGATGTGAGTGGTCGCATTCATTTGATTTTTGGTTTGCTTGTAGGCCGCTGGCACCTGCATTCAGTAACGCCGAAATTTTGGCACTGCTGTGAATAGTTTAGTCGCAAAGTGAAGAATCACGGGGAAAAAGGCCCAAAACTTCAAGATAGTTTTATTTCAGGTTTGAGCAGCCCTGAGCGAAGTGTTTATTGAAATGTGGAATTTTTTCTTGGTGCACTTCCCTTTGTCCAGCTAAACAACAAGATGAGGGTGGCGATGGTCAGTTCATGAGCTTCGAACGGGCAGAAAGGTTAGAAATTGTCGCTTTTTGCCCATTTGTGGCCACGTGTCACTTTCAACGTACCTCTCTATAACATGACCCAGCTGTGAGGTGAGTGGTCGCATTGATTTGATTTTTGGTTTGCTTGTAGACCGCTGGCACCCGCATTCAGTAACGCCGAAATTTTGGCACTGCTTGGAATAGTTTAGTCGCAAAGTGAAGAATCACGGGCAAAAAGGCCCAAAACTTGGAGATAGTTCTATTTCAGCTTTGAGCAGCCCTGGGCGAAGTGTTTATTGAAATGTGGAATTTTTTCTTGGTGCACTTCCCTATGTCCAGCTAAACAACAAGATGAGGGTGGCGATGGTCAGTTCTTGATCTTCGAACGAGCAGAAAGGTGAGAAATTGTCGCCTTTTGCCCATTTGTGCCCACGTGTCACTTTCAACATACCTCTCTATAACATGACCCAGCTGTGATGTGAGTGGTCGCATTGATTTGATTTTTGGTTTCCTTGTAGGCCGCTAGCACCCGCATTCAGTAACGCCGAAATGTTGGCACTGCTGGGAATAGTTTAGTCGCAAAATGAAGAATCACGGGCAAAAGGCCCAAAACTTGGAGATAGTTTTATTTCAGCTTTGAGCAGGCCTGGGCGAAGTGTTTATTGAAATGTGGAATTTTTTCTTGGTGCACTTCCCTATGTCCAGCTAAACAACAAGATGAGGGTGGCGATGGTCAGTTCTTGAGCTTCGAACGGGCATAAAGGTGAGAAATTGTCGCTTTTTGCCCATTTGTGCCCACGTGTCACTTTCAACATACCTCTCTATAACATGACCCAGCTGTGATGTGAGTGGTCGTATTGATTTGATTTTGGTTTGCTTGTAGACCCCTGGCACCAGCATTCAGTGACGCCGAAATTTTGGCACTGCTGGGAATAGTTTAGTCGCAAAGTGAAGAATCACGGGCAAAAAGGCCCAAAACTTTGAGATAGTTTTATTTCAGCTTTGAGCAGCCCTGGGCGATGTGTTTATTGAAATGTGGAATTTCTTCTTGGTGCACTTCCCTATGTCCAGCTAAACAACAAGATGAGGGTGGCGATGGTCAGTTCTTGAGCTTCGAACGGGCATAAAGGTGAGAAATTGTCGCTTTTTGCCCATTTGTGCCCACGTGTCACTTTCAACATACCTCTCTATAACATGACCCAGCTGTGATGTGAGTGGTCGCATTGATTTGATTTTTGGTTTGCTTGTAGGCCGCTGGCACCCGCATTCAGTGACGCCGAAATTTTGGCACTGCTGGGAATAGTTTAGTTGCAAAGTGAAGAATCACGGGCAAAAAGGCCCAAAACTTGGAGATAGTTTTATTTCAGCTTTGAGCAGCCCTGGGCGAAGTGTTTATTGAAATGTGGAATTTTTTCTTGGTGCACTTCCCTATGTCCAGCTAAACAACAAGATGAGGGTGGCGATGGTCAGTTCTTGAGTTTCGAACGGGCAGAAAGGTTAGAAATTGTCGCTTTTTGCGCATTTGTGCCCCCGTGTCACTTTCAACGTACCTCTCTATAACATGATCCAGTTGTGATGTGAGTGGTCGCATTGATTTGATTTTTGGTTTGCTTGTAGGCCGCTGGTACCTGCATTCAGTAACGCCGAAATTTTGGCACTGCTGTGAATAGTTTAGTCGCAAAGTTAAGAATCACTTGGAAAAAGGCCCAAAACTTCAAGATAGTTTTGTTTCAGCTTTGAGCAGCCCTGAGCGAAGTGTTTATTGAAATGTGGAATTTTTTCTTCGTGCACTTCCCTGTGTCCAGCTAAACAACAAGATGAGGGTGGCGATGGTCAGTTCATGAGCTTCGAACGGGCAGAAAGGTTAGAAATTGTCGCTTTTTGCCCATTTGTGCCCACGTGTCACTTTCAACGTACCTCTCTATAACATGACCCAGCTATGAGGTGAGTGGTCGCATTGATTTGATTTTTGGTTTGCTTGTAGACCGCTGGCACCCGCATTCAGTAACGCCAAATTTTGGCACTGCTTTGAATAGTTTAGTCGCAAAGTGAAGAATCACGGGCAAAAAGGCCCAAAACTTGGAGATAGTTCTATTTCAGCTTTGAGCAGCCCTGGGCGAAGTGTTTATTGAAATGTGGAATTTTTTCTTGGTGCACTTCCCTATGTCCAGCTAAACAACAAGATGAGGGCGGCGATGGTCAGTTCTTGATCTTCGAACAAGCAGAAAGGTGAGAAATTGTCGCTTTTTGCCCATTTGTGCCCCCGTGTCACTTTCAACGTACCTCTCTATAACATGACCCAGCTGTGAGGTGAGTGGTCGCTTGGAATAGTTTAGTCGCAAGGTGAAGAATCACGGGCAAAAAGGCCCAAAACTTGGAGATAATTCTATTTCAGCTTTGAGCAGCCCTGGGCGAAGTGTTTATTGAAATGTGGATTTTTTTTTGGTGCACTTCCCTATGTCCAGCTAAACAACAAGATGAGGGTGGCGATGGTCAGTTCTTGATCTTCGAACGAGCAGAAAGGTGAGAAATTGTCGCTTTTTGCCCATTTGTGCCCACGTGTCACTTTCAACATACCTCTCTATAACATGACCCAGCTGTGATGTGAGTGGTCGCATTGATTTGATTTTTGGTTTGCTTGTAGGCCGCTAGCACCCGCATTCAGTAACGCCGAAATTTTGGCACTCCTAGGAATAGTTTAGTCGCAAAGTAAAGAACCACGTTTAAAAAGGCCCAAAACTTGGGGATAGTTTTATTTCAGCTTTGAGCAGCCCTGGGCGAAGTGTTTATTGAAATGTGGAATTTTTTCTTGGTGCACTTCCCTATGTCCAGCTAAACAACAAGATGAGGGTGGCGATGGTCAGTTCTTGAGTTTCGAACGGGCAGAAAGGTTAGAAATTGTCGCTTTTTGCGCATTTGTGCCCACGTGTCACTTTCAACGTACCTATCTATAACATGATCCAGCTGTGATGTGAGTGGTCGCATTGATTTGATTTTTGGTTTGCTTGTAGAGCGCTGGCACCCGCATTCAGTAACGCCAAATTTTGGCACTGCTTTGAATAGTTTAGTCGCAAAGTGAAGAATCACGGGCAAAAAGGCCCAAAACTTGGAGATAGTTCTATTTCAGCTTTGAGCAGCCCTGGGCGAAGTGTTTATTGAAATGTGGAATTTTTTCTTGGTGCACTTCCCTATGTCCAGCTAAACAACAAGATGAGGGTGGCGATGGTCAGTTCTTGATCTTCGAACAAGCAGAAAGGTGAGAAATTGTCGCTTTTTGCCCATTTGTGCCCCCGTGTCACTTTCAACGTACCTCTCTATAACATGACCCAGCTGTGGGGTGAGTGGTCGCTTGGAATAGTTTAGTCGCAAAGTGAAGAATCACGGGCAAAAAGGCCCAAAACTTGGAGATAATTCTATTTCAGCTTTGAGCAGCCCTGGGCGAAGTGTTTATTGAAATGTTGATTTTTTTTTGGTGCACTTCCCTATGTCCAGCTAAACAACAAGATGAGGGTGGCGATGGTCAGTTCTTGATCTTCGAACGAGCAGAAAGGTGAGAAATTGTCGCTTTTTGCCCATTTGTGCCCACGTGTCACTTTCAACATACCTCTCTATAACATGACCCAGCTGTGATGTGAGTGGTCGCATTGATTTGATTTTTGGTTTGCTTGTAGGCCGCTAGCACCCGCATTCAGTAACGCCGAAATTTTGGCACTCCTGGGAATAGTTTAGTCGCAAAGTAAAGAACCACGTTTAAAAAGGCCCAAAACTTGGGGATAGTTTTATTTCAGCTTTGAGCAGCCCTGGGCGAAGTGTTTATTGAAATGTGGAATTTTTTCTTGGTGCACTTCCCTATGTCCAGCTAAACAACAAGATGAGGGTGGCGATGGTCAGTTCTTGAGTTTCGAACGGGCAGAAAGGTTAGAAATTGTCGCTTTTTGCGCATTTGTGCCCACGTGTCACTTTCAACGTACCTATCTATAACATGATCCAGCTGTGATGTGAGTGGTCGCATTGATTTGATTTTTGGTTTGCTTGTAGGCCGCTGGCACCTGCATTCAGTAACGCCGAAATTTCGGCACTGCTGTGAATAGTTTAGTCGCAAAGTTAAGAATCACGGGGAAAAAGGCCCAAAACTTCAAGATAGTTTTATTTCAGCTTTGAGCAGCCCTGAGCGAAGTGTTTATTGAAATGTGGAATTTTTTCTTGGTGCACTTCCCTATGTCCAGCTAAACAACAAGATGAGGGTGGCGATGGTCAGTTCTTGATCTTCGAACGAGCAGAAAGGTGAGAAATTGTCGCCTTTTGCCCATTTGTGCCCACGTGTCACTTTCAACATACCTCTCTATAACATGACCCAGCTGTGATGTGAGTGGTCGCATTGATTTGATTTTTGGTTTGCTTGTAGGCCGCTGGCACCCGCATTCAGTGACGCCGAAATGTTGGCACTGCTTGGAATAGTTTAGTCGCAAAGTGAAGAATCACGGGCAAAAAGGCCCAAAACTTCGAGATAGTTTTATTTCAGCTTTGAGCAGCCCTGGGCGAAGTGTTTATTGAAATGTGGAATTTTTTCTTGGTGCACTTCCCTATGTCCAGCTAAACAACAAGATGAGGGTGGCGATGGTCAGTTCTTGAGCTTCGAACGGGCATAAAGGTGAGAAATTGTCGCTTTTTGCCCATTTGTGCCCACGTGTCACTTTCAACATACCTCTCTATAACATGACCCAGCTGTGATGTGAGTGGTCGTATTGATTTGATTTTTGGTTTGCTTGTAGACCGCTGGCACCAGCATTCAGTGACGCCGAAATTTTGGCACTGCTGGGAATAGTTTAGTCGCAAAGTGAAGAATCACGGGCAAAAAGGCCCAAAACTTGGAGATAGTTTTATTTCAGCTTTGAGCAGCCCTGGGCGATGTGTTTATTGAAATGTGGAATTTTTTCTTGGTGCACTTCCCTATGTCCAGCTAAACAACAAGATGAGGGTGGCGATGGTCAGTTTTTGAGTTTCGAACGGGCAGAAAGGTTAGAAATTGTCGCTTTTTGCCCTTTTGTGCCCACGTGTCACTTTCAACGTACCTCTCTATAACATGACCCAGCTGTGAGGTGAGTGGTCGCATTGATTTGATTTTTGGTTTGCTTGTAGACCGCTGGCACCCGCATTCAGTAACGCCGAAATTTTGGCACTGCTTGGAATAGTTTAGTCGCAAAGTGAAGAATCACGGGCAAAAAGGCCCAAAACTTCGAGATAGTTCTATTTCAGCTTTGAGCAGCCCTGGGCGAAGTGTTTATTGAAATGTGGATTTTTTTTTGGTGCACTTCCCTATGTCCAGCTAAACAACAAGATGAGGGTGGCGATGGTCAGTTCTTGGTCTTCGAACGAGCAGAAAGGTGAGAAATTGTCGCTTTTTGCCCATTTGTGCCCACGCGTCACTTTCAACATACTTCTCTATAACATGACCCAGCTGTGATGTGAGTGGTCGCATTGATTTGATTTTTGGTTTGCTTTTAGGCCGCTAGCACCCGCATTCAGTAACGCCGAAATTTTGGCACTCCTAGGAATAGTTTAGTCGCAAAGTAAAGAACCACGTTTAAAAAGGCCAAAAACTTGGGGATAGTTTTATTTCAGCTTTGAGCAGCCCTGGGCGAAGTGTTTATTGAAATGTGGAATTTTTTCTTGGTGCACTTCCCTATATCCAGCTAAACAACAAGATGAGGGTGGCGATGGTCAGTTCATGAGCTTCGAACGGGCAGAAAGGTTAGAAATTGTCGCTTTTTGCCCATTTGTGGCCACGTGTCACTTTCAACGTACCTCTCTATAACATGACCCAGCTGTGAGGTGAGTGGTCGCATTGATTTGATTTTTGGTTTGCTTGTAGACCGCTGGCACCCGCATTCAGTAACGCCGAAATTTTGCCACTGCTTGGAATAGTTTAGTCGCAAAGTGAAGAATCACGGGCTAAAAGGCCCAAAACTTAGAGATAGTTCTATTTCAGCTTTGAGCAGCCCTGGGCGAAGTGTTTACTGAAATGGGGAATTTTTTCTTGGTGCAATACCCTATGTCCAGCTAAACAACAAGATGAGGGTGGCGATGGTCAGTTCTTGATCTTCGAACGAGCAGAAAGGTGAGAAATTGTCGCTTTTTGCCCATTTGTGCCCACGTGTCACTTTCAACATACCTCTCTATAACATGACCCAGCTGTGATGTGAGTGGTCGCATTGATTTGATTTTTGGTTTGCTTGTAGGCCGCTGGCACCCGCATTCAGTAACGCCGAAATGTTGGCACTGCTGGGAATAGTTTAGTCGCAAAGTGAAGAATCACGGGCAAAAAGGCCCAAAACTTGGAGATAGTTCTATTTCAGCTTTGAGCCGGCCTGGGCGAAATGTTTATTGAAATGTGGAATATTTTCTTGGTGCACTTCCCTATGTCCAGCTAAACAAGATGAGGGTGGCGATGGTCAGTTTTTGAGCTTCGAACGGGCGTAAAGGTTAGAAATTGTCGCTTTTTGCCCAGTTGTGCCCACGTGTCACTTTCAACATACCTCTCTATAACATGACCCAGCTGTGATGTGAGTGGTAGTATTGATTTGATTTTTGGTTTGCTTGTAGACCCCTGGCACCAGCATTCAGTGACGCCGAAATTTTGGCACTGCTGGGAATAGTTTAGTCGCAAAGTGAAGAATCACGGGCAAAAAGGCCCAAAACTTGGAGATAGTTTTATTTCAGCTTTGAGCAGCCCTGGGCGAAGTGTTTATTGATATGTGGAATTTTTTCTTCGTGCACTTCCCTGTGTCCAGCTAAACAACAAGATGAGGGTGGCGATGGTCAGTTCTTGAGCTTCGAACGGGCAGAAAGGTGAGAAATTGTCGCTTTTTGCCCATTTGTGCCCACGTGTCACTTTCAACATACCTCTCTATAACGTGACCCAGCTGGGAGCTGAGTGGTTGCATGGATTTGATTTTTGGTTTGCTTGCAGGCCGCTGGCACCCGCATTCAGTGACGCCGAAATTTTGGCACTGCTGGGAATAGTTTAGTTGCAAAGTGAAGAATCACGGGCAAAAAGGCCCAAAACTTGGAGATAGTTTTATTTCAGCTTTGAGCAGCCCTGGGCGAAGTGTTTATTGAAATGTGGAATTTTTTCTTGGTGCACTTCCCTATGTCCAGCTAAACAACAAGATGAGGGTGGCGATAGTCAGTTCTTGAGCTTCGAACGGG